GGCAAACTCTGCGGAGCAAGCGTTTCGCTCGAGACATCCTCAACGCACGAAAAAGTGCCCCGCACCCTGTGATTTATCGATTGGGATTTCAAAAACAAGCGTTTCGCTCGAGACTTCCTCAAATTTTAATTCGCCGGCCTCCTTCGACCTCGTTATTTATCAGGGAAAAAATTCGCCGGCCTCCCTCAAGTTGGCACCGGGGGACAGGTTTACCTACTAAAAGAGAACCCTGGGCCGATGCCCTTTCCGGGGAAAAAACATGATGGACCCACGAACCCGGAAAGGGATATAGACATGTGCAGCATGGTCACGTTTTCACGATATCCAACTGGGCGACACCTCACGAAACATCCCACAAGACACCCCGCGAAACATCCTAGGAGACACCTCACGAAACAACCCACGAGACACCTCCCGAAACCATTCCACGAGACCCTCGTGAACATTCCACGAAGACACCCCACGAACAGGCAAACCACTCCAACCAGACACCCCACGAACATTCCACGACGACTGCGACTGGGTGTGGGCGTGCTGGGGTGTGGTCGTGCTGGGGTGTGGTCGTGCTGGGGAGTGGTCGTGCTGGGGTGTGGTCGTGCTGGGGGGTGGTCGTGCTGGGGGGTGGTCGTGCTGGGGGGGTGGTCGTGCTGGGGGGTGGTCGTGCTGGGGCGTGGTCGTGCTGGGGCGTGGTCGTGCTGGGGCGTGGTCGTGCTGGGGTGGGGTCGTGCTGTGGTGAGGTCGTGCTGGGGTGTGGTCGTGCTGGGGTGTGGTCTTGCTGGGGTGGGGTCGTGCTGGGGTGTGGTCGTGCTGGGGTGTGGTCGTGCTGGGGTGTGGTCGTGCTGTGGTGGGGTCGTGCTGGGGTGGGGTCGTGCTGGGGTGTGGTCGTGCTGGGGTGTGGTCGTGCTGGGGTGTGGTCGTGCTAGGGTGGGGTAGTGCTGGGGTGGGGTCGTGCTGGGGTGTGGTCGTGCTGGGGTGTGGTCGTGCTGGGGTGTGGTCGTGCTGGGGCGTGGTCGTGCTGGGGTGGGGTCGTGCTGGGGTGGTGTCGTGCTGGGGTGTGGTCGTGCTGGGGTGGTCCGCACCCTGTGATTTATCGATCGGGTCGTGCTGGGGTGTGGTCGTGCTGGGGTGTGGTCGTGCTGGGGTGTGGTCGTGCTGGGGTGTGGTCGTGCTGGGGGGGTGTTCGTGCTGGGGGGTGGTCGTGCTGGGGCGTGTTCGTGCTGGGGCATGGTCGTGCTGGGGCGTGGTCGTGCTGGGGTGTGGTCGTGCTGTGGTGAGGTCGTGCTGGGGTGTGGTCGTGCTGGGGTGTGGTCTTGCTGGGGTATGGTCGTGCTGGGGTCGGGTCGTGCTGGGGTGTGGTCGTGCTGGGGTATGGTCGTGCTGGGGTGGGGTCGTGCTGGGGTGGGGTCGTGCTGGGGTCTGGTCGTGCTGGGGTGTGGTCGTGCTGGGGTATGGTCGTGCTAGGGTGGGGTCGTGCATTTCGCTCGAGACATCCTTCCAAAATTCCAGGAAATCGTACAAAAACAAAGGAATTAGTCGAGACATCATCGAAATTCCTTCGCGCGGGGCGCTTTTCCGCGTCGCGGTCGGCTCTGCAAAACAAGCGTTTCGCTCGAGACATCCTCGGCAAACTCTGCGGAGCAAGCGTTTCGCTCGAGACATCCTCAACACACGAAAAAGTGGCCCGCACCCTGTGATTTATCGATCGGGATTTCAAAAACAAGCGTTTCGCTCGAGACATCCTCAAATTTTAATTCGCCGGCCTCCTTCGACCTCGTTATTTATCAGGGAAAAAATTCGCCGGCCTCCCTCAAGTTGGCACCGGGGGACAGGTTTACCTACTAAAAGAGAACCCTGGGCCTATGCCCTTTCCGGGAAAAATGATACCGACGAAGTCGCCCAGCATGATCGGGATGACCCCCCCGTCCGTCGCCGCGCAGATCTGGTCATTGCCGAACCTGTACTTCTTGTGGTACGGGATCGTCTGCAGCGTGATGCCGTGCTCATTCTTGTAGTGCACCTCCCACTTCGCGTAGGTGTCCAGCCCCATCATGTTGAAACCGCAGGCCGTGTCGAGTGCTCCCCAGCCTGGCCTGCCCGACGTCTTGATGTTGATCGCCAGGCTGATGTGCTCTACTATTTTCGACCTTGACGCCATCTTCGCCCTTGTTGTTATGTAGCTGCAGATCTCGTCGTCCTGAAGCACCGTCACGGCAATGAAACCTCCCGCCGGCTTGTTCTTATTCTTGGGATTGTCGGGGCACTCTCAATGCCAGTGTCCAACCTTCTTACATATGCCACACTTCGTGCGCTTCTTGATGTCCTCTATCTTGTCGTTGAGCTTCTTGCCGTCCTGCGGGTCGCGAAATCCTCGATTGGTCTTCTTGTCCGCCACGATCCTCCGAGCCTCGCCCCACGTCCGCGGCTTCGCCGGTGGTGGGACGATGGCCGCGAGGCAGTCGAGCGCCTCGACCTCCGTGAGGATCCGTTCTCCATCGTCAGCTGGTTCTTGTCCGTCGGGTGTCCCATCGCCGTCTATCCCGAGCAGGTTGGCCATCGCGTCGTACACAGCACTCTCGGCATCACCATCCTCGGACATCAGGGGCTCGTCCTCGTCAATTCCCGCCAGGTATGCTCCTTTGGTCGGTGTACTCTTCTCGGTGACCGTGCTGTCGTCCGTCATCCGCTTCAGAATCGAGACTAGCATGTTGACGTTGTAGCCGTAGCCCGTCTGGATGAGGACCTGGTTCCTTTCAGTCTTGGCCAGGCCCGCTCCTCTCAATAGCAAGAAACCCATGACCGTGTCGTTCAGTGCGTTGGGGAGTAGCCGTTCTAACTCTTTCTGTTCTGCTCGTACTCGATTGGTGAACTTCATCAGCGTCTCTTCTCTTGCCTTGGAGGCCGCAAAGAGGATCTTTTCCAGCTGCTGGAAGGTCTCCGCGTCTGCCTCTGGGAACGCCATCGTGTCCAGTGCCAAAATGACTGCTTGTAGACCGCCCGCGTACTGTACCGAACCTGGTCGTAGGTGCCGTGTCGCAGTCGCCGCCTCCTTAGTCAAGTGCAGCAGCAGGGTCTCGCCCTGCTCCTCAGGTGGCACTGCCGTCAATCTGCTCCATCTGTCTATGGCCAGCCTCTTCTCTGGCCACTCGCTGCGGTCCTTTCCGTCCCAGGTCGGGCTAGGTGGGTCTTTTCCTTTACGGCCTCCACGTCGCTGGTCGTGTTGCTCGTACTCCCCGCCCGACTCGAGTCTTCCGTGCACCTCTGCCATCGTCTCCTTCACCTGCTCGGGCGTGCCGAACCCTCTCGACTGCACTGACCTCTCCGAGTCCGTCTCCGAGCCGCCTGAGCAGCCCTTGCCTCTCAACTCGTACTTGCCTGCCGAATCCCCTGAGTCGTCCTCGCTCGGCCACTTCCAAGCACCCCAGTTGGACATTTGACTCCACGTTCGATCCCAGGATACTGAGCTGTCGTTCCATGTCTTCCAGGGGTCCCAGGTGTCGCCCTTCATGCTGTCGTGCTGTCCGCCTCGCTGCCCTCTCAGTCTTGACTGTGACCATCTCAGTTTCTCCCCGTCGCCCTCATCGTTCTGAGGGCCGTCTTCGACACGTTCCCACGTGACATCATCACAACTGCCGTCGTAGCCGTCGCTCCGCCTACCACATGTGGATGGTTCCCATCGAAGGTCTCCAAGATATCTGAAACAATCTGAAATACTCTGACCGAGAGGTAAAGATAGCACACACCTTTTCAGTACATGACAAGCTGCACTCCTGGAAGGGGGTCGACGGACCCCCTTCCCCTTGAACCCAAACGGTTAATGAAAAGGGGTCTCGGGTTCTTAGTGCAACACACATAGCACTTGAAAGCGCCCCCTGCGCTTTCAGATTCACAAGATGGATGTAAACCGGACAAATGAAAACCGGATGAATTTCAACCGGACGCGTAACATGATGGACCCACGAACCCGGAAAGGGATATAGACATGTGGAGCATGGACACGTTTTCATGATACCCAACTGGGCAACACCTCACGAAACATCCCACGAGACACCTCACGAAACAGCCCACGAGACACCTCACGAAACATTCCACGAGACACCTCACGAAACATTTCACGAGACACCCCGCGAAACATTCCACGAGACACCCCACGAAACATTCCACGACGACAGGCAACCACTCAACCAAGGCGGTGTGGTCGTGCTGGGGAGTGGTCGTGCTGGGGTGTGGTCGTGCTGGGGGGTGGTCGTGCTGGGGGGTGGTCGTGCTGGGGGGGTGGTCGTGCTGGGGGGGGGGTCGTGCTGGGAGGTGGTCGTGCTGGGGAGTGGTCGTGCTGGGGCGTGGTCGTGCTGGGGCGTGATCGTGCTGGGGAGTGGTCGTGCTGTGGTGAGGTCGTGCTGGAGTGTGGTCGTGCTGGGGTGTGGTCTTGCTGGGGTGGGGCCGTGCTGGGGTGGGGTCGTGCTGGGGTGGGGTCCTGCTGGGGTGTGGTCGTGCTGGGGTGTGGCTGGGGTGGGGTCGTGCTTGGGTGGGGTCGTGCTGGGGTGTGGTCGTTCTGGGGTGTGATCGTGCTGGGGTGTGGTCGTGCTGGGGCGTGGTCGTGCTGGGGTGGGGTCGTGCTGGGGAGTGGTCGTGCTGTGGTGAGGTCGTGCTGGGGTGTGGTCGTGCTGGGGTGTGGTCTTGCTGGGGTGGGGCCGTGCTGGGGTGGGGTCGTGCTGGGGTGGGGTCCTGCTGGGGTGTGGTCGTGCTGGGGTGTGGTCGTGCTGGGGTGGGGTCGTGCTGGGGTGGGGTCGTGCTGGGGTGTGGTCGTTCTGGGGTGTGATCGTGCTGGGGTGTGGTCGTGCTAGGGTGGGGTCGTGCTGGGGTGGGGTCGTGCTGGGGTGTGGTCGTGCTAGGGAGTGGTCGTGCTGGGGTGTGGTCGTGCTGGGGGGTGGTCGTGCTGGGGTGTGGTCGTGCTGGGGGGGTGGTCGTGCTGGGGGGTGGTTGTGCTGGGGCGTGGTCGTGCGTGCTGGGGTGTGGTGAGGTCGGGATTTCAAAAACAAGCGTTTCGCTCGAGACATCCTCAAATTTTAATTCGCCGGCCTCAAAAACAAGCGTTTCGCTCGAGACATCCTCTAATTTTAATTCTCGGGCTCGTTATTTATCAGGGAAAAATTCGCCGGCCTCCTTCGACCTCGTTATTTATCAGGGAAAAAATTCGCCGGCCTCCTTCAAGCAGGCACCGGGGGACTTGTTTACAAACTAAAAGAGAACCCTGGGCTTAAGCCCTTTCCGGGAAAAAACACATGGATCCAGTTCTGGGCAACCATGTTAGAAACCCCTGGGTGGCCTGGACACGTAACATGATGGACCCACGAACCCGGACAGGGATATAGACATGTGGAGCATGGACACGTTTTCATGATACCCAACTGGGCAACACCTCACGAAACATCCCACGAGACACCTCACGAAACAGCCCACGAGACACCTCACGAACATTCCACGAGACACCTCACGAAACATTTCACGAGACACCCCGCAAACATTTTTCTTTTTTATTCCCCCCAACGAAAAGGACACCCTAAAAACCCCACGAAAAACATACCACGAGACAGGGCATCCACTCAACCAAGGCGGGGTTTCGTGCTGGGGGGGTGTCCGTGCTGGGTGTGGTCGTGCTGGGGGGTGGTCGTGCTGGGGGGTGGTCGGCTGGGGGGGTGTACGGCTGGGGGTGGGGGTGGTCGTCTGGGCGTGGTCGTGCTGGGGCCGTGGTCGTGCTGGGGCTGGTCGTGCTGGGCGTGGTCGTGCTGGGGCGTGGTCGTGCTGGGGTGTGGTCGTGCTGTGGTAAGGTCGTGCTGGGGTGCGGTCGTGCTGGGGTGTGGTCTTGCTGGGGTGGGTTCGTGCTGGGGTGTGATCGTGCTGGGGTGGGGTCGTGCTGGGGTGTGGTCGTGCTGGGGTGTGGTCGTGCTAGGGTGGGGTCGTGCTGGGGTGGGGTCGTGCTGGGGAGTGGTCGTGCTGGGGGGTGGTCGTGCTGGGGTGTGGTCATGCTGGGGCGTGGTCGTGCTGGGGTGGGGTCGTGCTGGGGTGGGGTCGTGCTGGGGTGGGTTCGTGCTGGGGTGCTCCGCACCCTGTGATTTATCGATCGGGTCGGGCTGGGGTGTGGTCGTGCTGGGGTGTGGTCGTGCTGGGGTGTGGTCGTGCTGGGGTGTGGTCGTGCTGGGGTGTGGTCGTGCTGGGGTGTGGTCGTGCTGGGGAGTGGTCGTGCTGGGGTGTGGTCGTGCTGGGGGGTGGTCGTGCTGGGGGGTGGGCGTGCTGGGGGGGTGGTCGTGCTGGGGGGTGGTCGTGCTGGGGCGTGGTCGTGCTGGGGCGTGGTCGTGCTGGGGCGTGGTCGTGCTGGGGTGTGGTCGTGCTGTGGTGAGGTCGTGCTGGGGTGTGGTCGTGCTGGGGTGTGGTCTTGCTGGGGTAGGGTCGTGCTGGGGTCGGGTCGTGCTGGGGTGTGGTCGTGCTGGGGTATGGTCGTGCTGGGGGGGGGTCGTGCTGGGGTGGGGTCGTGCTGGGGTCTGGTCGTGCTGGGGTGTGGTCGTGCTGGGGTATGGTCGTGCTAGGGTCGGGTCGTGCATTTCGCTCGAGACATCCTGCCAAAATTCCAGGAAATCGTACAAAAACAAAGGAATTAGTCGAGACATCATCGAAATTCCTTCGCGCGGGGCGCTTTCCGCGTCGCGGTCGGCTCTGCAAAACAAGCGTTTCGCTCGAGACATCCTCGGCAAACTCTGCGGAGCAAGCGTTTCGCTCGAGACATCCTCAACACACGAACATGATGGACCCACGAACCCGGAAAGGGATAAAGACATGTGCAGCATGGTCACGTTTTCACGATACCCAACTGGGCGACATCTCACGAACCATCCCACGAGACACCCCGCGAAACATCCCACGAGACACCTCACGAAACATTCCACGAGACACCTCACGAAACATTCCACGAGACACCCTTTGAAACATTCCACGAGACACCCCACGAACATGCAACCACTCAACCAGACACGCCACGAAACATTCCACGGGGGTGCGACTGGGTGTGGTCGTGCTGGGGTGTGGTCGTGCTGGGGTGTGGTCGTGCTGGGGAGTGGTCGTGCTGGGGTGTGGTCGAGCTGGGGTGTGGTCGTGCTGGGGGGT